ACCGTTTACTAGGTTTCTGACCGTTTACTAGGTTTCTGAACGTTTACTATGTTTCTGACTGTTTACTATGTTTCTGACTGTTTACCATGTTTCTGACCGTTTACTAGGTTTCTGACTGTTTACTATGTTTCTGACTGTTAACTATGTTTCTGACTGTTAACTATGTTTCTGACTGTTTACTATGTTTCTGATTGTGGAAATGGGTTGTTCTTGTTAATGTCCTGTTCAGGTTTGGTATTTATATTAAAGTCATTGTCGACTCTAAACTGGCACCATGAGTCAGAGGTTGTTTCCAGTATATCTAAGTGGGAAATAACTGAGTGGAGTACCCTCACTGAAAAATGAAGTCACAGGACGACCCATGCCCTACCATGGCCCTGCACTGTGGAAGTCAATGCTTTGAGTGGGGAGTGGACTCTTCATGAAGCTTATCTCTGTGTACTCATGAAAATGTTGAAAATTAACTTTGGCATTTAACAGGATCACCCCTTGGACTGAAATATTTGCCATTCCAATTTTTTTTTTTTTTAAAGGTTTCCTCTCATGTTTTTTTATTTTATAAAAAAAAAAATATTAATGAACTAATCAGAAGGTGGCACGGTGCATCTCAACGAGAAGATCGCCAGATCGATTCCCGGCCGGGGGCCTTTTTGGGTGGAGTTTGAATGTTCTCTTGGTGCATGCGTGGGTTTTCTCCGGGTCCTCCGGTTTCCTCCCATAGACCAAAAACATACATGTTAGGCTGATTGGTAACTCTAAATTCCCTATGTGAGAGTGAGAATGGTTATTGGTCTCGTTTGTCTTTTTGTGGCCATGTGATGGACTTGAGACCTGTTCAGGGTGTCCCCCGCCTCTCGTATAGTGACTGCCAGATATGGGCACCAGTGAGCCCCGCAACCCGAAAAGGAAGAAGTGGGTAAAGATAATGGATGGATGGATGAACTAAATGGCAGGCCAGACTTAAATCACCTGCGGGCCTCCAGTTGAGTAGCCCTGCTCTGTACCATTATTCCAATATAAAAACATGAACAAAGAATCAAATACATTTCTACTTCTCTGAAATGGTTAAGATTGTATTGTGTGATAAAATAAAATTGCTTGACCTCTTTTTCTGTTTGCAGTGGTATGTTCTATTCAGCTGGTTTAATTTGACATCAAGACTGACAGCTCTAGCCAAAATGGAAACAAGTAACCACAGTGATCACCTGTGTTTTTCTCAAAGTTCTTGTTGTTGATGATGATGCACTGGCCTATACTGGGGAAGCTGAGGCTGTATCTGAAGCTGTGGGAGGGGGGCTTGGCATCAACGTCCATGGAGGCAGAATCAGGCAAAGACCCCGCTGACCTGAAGAACAACAGAACAAAACATGGCTCATAACGCGAATGATAAGAACAGGAAGAGATGCACTTAGGCTAATGAAATGAGAGAAGAGGAAGCACGAAGGCCTAGGATGCCGCTAAGCTCTTTCAACTAGTAAAATTGGCGAGTTTAACGTTAAATTAAAACAACAATTAACAACTCCTTCAGCTTGCGTGAACTTGAAAAAAGGACTTGCTGAGGATAAAAGTCACAATATGGCTCACTTTACATAATAACTCACATTTGATGTCCTTCTTCCTGCTTCGCGTCTGTAGTGTCCCGAACAGCTCCGTTTGCCGACATAGTTTTTATTTAGACAAAAAAAGCGCACTAAGCAGCGAAACTACAAAGCCTGTGAGACAATCAGCAAAAAAGCCAACTCGACAGACGATAAGTCTTCTAGCAGTACTGCTGCACCCGGCTGATAAACAAAGCGTAAGAAAACTTCTTCCTCTGGGCTTTAATAGCAATGCGCATTCATTATTGTTAAGTATTACTGCCCCCGTCTGGTTGTATCAGTCACTGCAACCTTTTTACTGAATAGCTTTTTTTTTCATAGATACAATCATAGATATCATATAATCACTAGATCCCTCATCGGATGCTGCGGCGCATGATTTTCGGCCGCCATCTTGGAGCGGTCGTCCTTATTTGGTTAAAGCAGAAAATGTTTCTGCACTTCGCAGCTTATTTCTGTTCTAATCGACGGACTGTTGACGTCAGGTCTCGGGGGATAACTTTTTACAAGGAAGATGAACATAGTATTGTTAGTATTTTGTGAATATAATATTACTGTACTGTATTTATGTCCACCAGCTGATGTGATGTTCAGTGTAACACGGTGTTCAGCTGCAATGAAGCTAACTGAGATCTGATGACAGGAATATTTTTCTAACAAGCATATTCAATATTTCAGTTGCTTTGGTTCATTATCAAGAGATATGCATCAGAATTGGAGTTTTGTTTAAGTTCTAAGAAATTAAAAAAATAAAACCAGGGAGAATATAGGAAATAGAAAATAAGATTGACCTCCTCTGTACAATGTTTTTGTGTAGACACAAATCTCTTGTTTTCATTTTGAAGTTTTCTCAAAGAACAAGATGTGAGGAAGAGGAGCAAGTATCTTTGAGGAAGATTCATCTGAGTAGTGAGGATTTTAAACTGGAGGATTTTGATCAAACTGATCAGACTGTCCGACTGAGAGATGGTGTGGTACCATCGGTTCACCTTCAGAGAGTAGGAGCATCATTATAAGTTCATTAATGTTCATAAATTTACATATTTTATTGTCAGTCACAAGGTGAGACACCTCCATGTGTTTATATGAACAGGTAACTAGAGACTGTAAAGTTCATATTCATGATGTTTTTTCATTTCAGCTTGAAAACTGCAGGACCACAGGAACTCAACAAAAGCTGAAGCTGCTCTGTCTGTGGCCTCTCAGGAACGTGCACGTCACACACACAACCACGGCCTCATGATGTGAGTATTTCTATTTTAAACTTTTATTTTTCATTTACTCTTTATTTATACAGGTAGTCTCATTGAGTCACGAGAACTCATTTTCAAGAGAGACCTGTTTAGGAGCAGATGGTGGGGGTTGAGTGCCTTGCTCAGGGGCCCAGAGTGGGGCCAATGAGGGTGGAGGCAGGTGTGGGTGTTTCACCTTTTCCACCTCATTTTGATGTTGACGGTACCGGGAGTTGAACCTGCAACTTTCCGATCACAGGCCCATCTTCTAACCTCTGCTCCACCACTCCCCCACATAACATCATATCATAATGGTCATGGTCATATTAAAATCTCACTGGTTTCCTTCCAGATGTGTTAAACAGCTACTGGTCCCCCTGATGTTTCCAGGTGGTGGTCAGTGGATGAAAAGCCTGGCATGAACAAGATGATGCTGGAGATCATCATTTGACGAGAGCTCCCACCTTCTAACTGTGAAGAACAAGAGCAGCTCAGTGATTCCCTCAAGGCTCAGTGAAGGTGCTGAGAGCTGCAGAGAGGCTGATCCATGGAGCTTCAACACAGCAACCTCCAAACATGTCCACCCTCACACACATCGTCCACGAAGACACAGGACCAGAGCACAAGATAATAAGACAGTGATAACAACAACAACAACAGACATTCACTAATGATTCAGACAAATTTAAG